CCTCCCTGGGGCCAGGGGCCAGGATGTGCTCCTCCAAGGGGATGGGCGGGTTTGAGATGGCCGTGCGACCCCGGAAACCCCTCATCACCCTCTGATCCCCAGGAACCGGCCTAACCAGCCTTTTCTGGAAGGTGCTCCCGGTGCGCGCGCACACTCGGTCCTTGCCAGGGCGGGTTTCTTAGAAACCTGGCGAGAGCTCTTCCCAAGCCCTCTCCAATCAGCAATGCCAGGGTTTCCTCCCGGGAGGTCCCCCGTGTAAAAGGCTAACTGCACTGTCTTTGGGGACCCCTGCCCTGCTCCCAAGGTGGGGGAAGGCTGCAGTGTCTATCAATTGGCCTCTGCCCACGCGAGTCTCTCACGCCCCTCCCCCCACGACTCCGTTTTCCCTGAGAGGGCGGTGACTCAGGCTTCCGTGGAAACAAATGCCGCCGCCACCCCACCCCCCCACCTCCCCGTGAGGCTGCATGCCCCCCACCCCTCACATGACTTGAGAGCAGCTGCCCTGTCCTCTCAGCCAGCCAGGACCTCCCAGACCTTCTCCTGTGACTCCCCCATTCCATCGCCCACTCCCAGCCTGCCCTGCACCGGATGTGACTGGATAATGCGTTCTCCACCCCTCTTGTTTCAGGGGCCTCACATCTGGATCTCATCCTGGCCACCGAAGGGGTTGCCAGCACCCTGCCCACCCCCTTGGGACCCTCTCCCTGGGCAGAGCTAGATGGTGCTGATGAGAACAGGCTGTTGGGACTCTCGGTGCCTGGCTCAGTCAGCGTCTCCACACAAACTGTTGGGGGGTGGGGGTGGGGGCACAGTCCAGAGCTCTGTGTGTGGTGGGAAGAGGGGAGCAATAATACATTAGCATAGTAATATATGCTGAGCCTGCCTTGCCCCTCAGTTGAACAAATTAGACAGGATTTGTTGGGAGTCCTTGGGTCTGTTTCCACCAGAACGAAACACGACCGGGCCCGCCATCCTCCCTCCCAGTCGTTCTTAGGTTGTAGCCACTGTGTCCACCCCTGTCACTTAGGGGCCTTCCCCTTCTTCACTGCCCCTCTCCTTGACCAAGCATGAGCTCCTTCTCCAAGGACTGGTCTGGCCTGGTAACGTGTGCAAAGTCTGTGAGACAAAGTCTCGCCATCCTGGCCTCTAAGGAGCCAACCGGCCGGACCTCTTCCAAGGCAGATTTGTTTGTTTTCTTGGCTGTCGGCGGCCTAGTCACTCTTCTCCCTGCGGTACAGATGAGGGCATGGAGGCCGGGAGGCCCACTTATCCAAAGTCTCCCCAGTGTGCCAGAAGTGGAGTGGGGGTGAACCCTGGACTCCCTGTAAGGTGACGTGACCTCGGGGCCGCCCTGGTGTCTACTGGAGACCTCATTTTGGGAGCACCCATGGCCTCCAGGCTTCAGCCCAGCCTGAAATCCTGAGCAGTGGGTGGTAATGAGCAGGGCAGGGTGCTATCAGCAGCGACTATCTCTGTGGCCTGGGTCAGCAGGTCACCCGCGGCGCAAGGCTTCCTGCTGGGGAAAGGAGATGGGCCCTCCAGGCCCTGTCCCAGGCACGCTCTCCAGGCAGCTGTGGGGAAGACACTACCATTTGAGAGGTAGTTGGAGGCTGCCAGTCTCTCCGGCTCAGCCCCATCTCTCCTTTGAGTTTGGGCAAGTGAATTGACTTCTCTAGGTCCCCCACGTCAAATGGGGATCCTGCTCAGTCTGAGAGCGGGAGAATCGCTCACCAGGAAGGGGCAGCGCTGGGACTCAAACCACAGCCGTCCATCCAAAGTCAAAGCTCAGGCCCCATCCATGACGCTGACCTGTCTGTCTGTCTCCCTCTTTCCTCTCTTCAGCTCTGACAGCCTCATGGCCCCAGCCGGCCACTAAGCCCCACCATGGGCAGCCTGTACTCCGAGTACCTGAGCCCCAGCAAGGTCCTGGAACACTACAATTACACAAAGGAGACTCTGGACACGCAGGAGACGCCTTCCCGCCGGGTGGCCTCCGCCCTCATCATCCTCCTCTGTTGCGCCATCGTGCTGGAAAACCTCCTGGTGCTCATCGCCGTGGCCCGCAACAGCAAGTTCCACTCGGCCATGTACCTGTTCCTGGGCAACCTGGCCGCCTCCGACCTGCTGGCGGGCGTAGCCTTCATCGCCAACACCCTGCTCTCAGGGCCTGTCACGCTGGGGCTGACCCCGGTGCAGTGGTTCGCCCGAGAGGGTTCGGCCTTCATCACGCTCTCTGCCTCTGTCTTCAGCCTCCTGGCCATTGCCATCGAGCGCCACGTGGCCATCGCCAAGGTCAAGCTCTACGGCAGCGACAAGAGCTGCCGCATGCTGCTGCTCATCGCGGCCTCCTGGCTCATCTCGCTGGCGCTGGGCGGGCTGCCCATCCTGGGCTGGAACTGCCTGGGCCGCCTGGACGACTGCTCCACCGTCCTGCCGCTCTACGCCAAGCAGTACGTGCTCTGCGTGGTGACCATCTTCTCGGTCATCCTGCTGGCCATCGTGGCCCTGTACATCCGCATCTACTGCGTGGTCCGCTCCAGCCACGCCGACGTGGCCGGCCCGCAGACGCTGGCCCTGCTGAAGACGGTCACCATCGTGCTGGGCGTGTTCATCGTCTGCTGGCTGCCTGCCTTCAGCATCCTCCTCCTGGACTACGCCTGCACCGTCCGGGCCTGCCCCGTCCTCTACAAGGCCCACTACTTCTTCGCCTTCGCCACCCTCAACTCGCTGCTCAACCCAGTCATCTACACGTGGCGCAGCCGGGACCTGCGGAGGGAGGTGCTGCGGCCGCTGCAGTGCTGGCGGCGGGCGGCGGGGGGGCCGGGACGCCGGGGCGGGACGCCAGGCCACCGACTCCTGCCGCTGCGCAGCTCCAGCTCCCTGGAGAGGGGCACGCACATGCCCACATCGCCCACCTTTCTGGAGGGCAACACGGTGGTCTGAAAGGCTGGGTGGACCGACCAGCAGGTTGACGGCAGAAGCCCTCGGGGGGTGAGGTGCTGGGTAACCTCAGACAGAGGAGGGGGCGCTGCCTGATAGACAGGATGCCTCCACCCTGCAGACCTGGGCGGCGTTGGACCTATTCTACAGCGGACGGCAGAGCTGCCACAAGGTCTTAGAGGCCCACAGCAGTGTGGCCATGGGGCCAGATAACCTGGTAAGGGTCAAGGTGACTGCAGGTGGGAACTGGAGGCAGGAGCCGTTCGGCAACCAACCGGTGCAGAGATTTCCACATCCTGACAACTGTCCGAACGAGAGTCCTGATGGTGCAGGGGCTTTGTGCTGCGCTGCTAACTTCCAGGGCATCAGTTCGAAACCACCAGCTGTTCCTCGGGAGAGAGACGAGGCTTACTACTCCCGCCAAGAGCGGCTGTGTCAGAAACCCGCAGGGGCAGTTCTACCCTGTCCTACAGGGTTGCCGTGAGTCCGTATTGACTCTACTGGATGGCGGTGAGAATCATCCGCTGACCCTCTGGCCAGACACTTCTTTAAACTGCCCCTCCTGCTGCCTTCTGGCAACCTCAGGCTGCTGCCTGGGAACCTCACCCCAGGGGCTGGCCACTCCTCCCTGGCCTCTGGCGCCACGGGGGCTGCGGTGCCTGCGCCCAAATCCCCAGCTTCCCCAAATTTCACCAGCTGCCACTTTGGCCACTTCTTCCCTTTCCTCTCACCCCTGAAGATGCCAGGAAACCACAGGGTGAGGGTGGGAGTGGGGTGGGGGCTGAGCCCCATTCTCAGGCCTCATTGGCTAATTGCACTATTGGGGCTCAAAAGAATCACCAAAGGGTGGAAAAACCGGTTTGGGAGAGAGGAAGCTGAGAGAGGGTTTGGGGCCTCCCAGTGGGGCAGGGTAGAACCTGAGAAAGTTCTGAGGGAGATATTTGCACAGGAGACCCCCCAAATGAAACCATCCCCAAGCGACTCCCACTTCCAGCCACAGCCAAGGTACCGGGTCCCCTAACCAAGCAGCCCTTAGCCACAGTGGCTCCCTCCCTTCAAGTTGTATTGAACGGAGCATGGGGTCGGGGTGACCAAGGACATCATGTCTGGGGACTCACTCTCTCCCAAACTGTCCCCAGAAGGATTTTGCGAAATCCTGTGGGTGAATGCAAGAAACGTTACGGTACAAATGTATATTTATGTGTCTTTGCGTGTGTGTGTGTGTGTGTGTGTGTGTGTGTGTGTCACAAGTATGGTATTCCTGAGCCAGCTCCCAGCAGGCTTTCCCCAGAATGGATGCTGTCCCGTGTCCTCATGTCTGTCTGTGTTGAAGCTGCCAAAGTTGGGGAGGGGTGCGGCCTAACCCTGCACAGCCCCGTAGTAATTGCTGGCCTGTCTCCCCGCTTGGGAGCTGGGGTACAGCTCACTTGGGGAGGGGGGCGGAAACCTCATGCCTCCAACACATGAATGCAAAGGCCTGAGGGACCTTTGGGGGGGCAAGGAGCCAGTTGGGGGCTTGTCTCCCCTCATACAGCTCCCCAGACGCCCCCTCCTCCCCATGCCCCAGACCCAGGTCTGGGCCAATAAACGGTTCAGTGACTGCTTTCTGATGGTGACTGTCTCTGGAATCTCAGTTCCCCATGCCCACCCCCCTCTAATGGTGGCTGGGATGCCCTTCTGAACCCCCACTCCTGACCCCACAGGAGCCAGGACTCCAGTGGGACTTTGGCGTTCACACTGACTTCTCCCCCACATCAGCTGTCTGCCTGGCCTCGCCCAGAAAATTTGCCAGTGATGAATTCAGCCTGGGGCTTCCCTGCTTACTTTCCCTGGGATGGGGGATGGGGGAGTTCAGTGGGCTTGCTCCGGGAGGGTGCCCCTTCTGTATCCCAAGCTCCTATCCTCACTTCCCTTTTCCGGGAGTCTGAGAGGTGGTTTT